ACAATCAGACTCTTATTTATAATTTTATTAGAGTTACTTGATGGAGAAGTTCTCTTCTTCTTTTTCACACCTGTCCTGTCAGTGGCAAAAACATTGGGGGTGGCAGATTTTAAAATATTACCCAATAGAGGGTCAACAATTTTGATAATCATAACAGAAGTCAAAATTATTTAAATAATCCAACATGGGTGAGGGTATACATCTGTAGACAAAACTGACTTATATTATTTAACATGTTATATCCACCACCATACATAGTATGGAGGGTATATTAAGTACGTCATTCCGTTTATAACTCATCGAAAACATAATTTCAGACCCAACCAAGTATATATATTCTTGATCAGCGTAAAAATCTAAGACGATTTAGCCCTGTCCGTCTGTTGATAGGAAGCTAAAATTTTGCACAGATCTGTGTTTTGTCTGCATGCAGGTTAAGTTCGAAGATGGGCTTTATCGGTATAGCCCCCAATAACGGTAACCCCCGATATTCGGTATTTTGATGATTTTAGGCACATTTTTTCAATGGAATTGTCTGAAATTCTACACAAGGAATTATTTTAGGATACTTTACTCTTTGGAAGAGAATTTTCTACATGTGTCCATGATATCGTATAGTCCCCATATAACGGTACCCCCGTTATTGGGTATATTGACCATATTTTTAACCATATTTTTCAATAGAATTGTATGAAATTCTACACAAGGAGTTCTTCTTGTCTACTTTAGCCCCTGAAAAATAATTGTCTATATAGGTCTACGATATCGTATGTCCCCCTACAATTGTACCTCCCGCAATTCGGTATTTTGATGATTTTAGCCACATTTTTCAATGGAATTGGCTTAAAATCCGCACAAGGAATTCTCTTTACTTAACCCCTGGAAGAGAATTATCTATATAGGTCAACGTTTTAGTATTGCACCCATATAACACTAACCCGAGATAATTGGTATTTCCAGGATATTCGCAACTTTATTCACCGGAATTGCATCAAATTTCGTATTTGAAATTCGAAATGGGTACTAAGACTTGTGACGGAAAATTATCTCGGCACATGCACCTCTTAATATAGCCAACATACAACGGCAGCTTTATTTAGTATTTTGATAATATTCGAGACATTATTCAACGGAGTTGTTTCGAATTTCGTATTTAAAGTTCGTAATGCGTACTACAGCCTATGTATAGTCCCCACATGACGGGTTTTATTTAAGTGTCAGTTTTCGGAATTTTTTTATTCTTTCAAATGGTGAAGGGTATTAAAAGTTCGGCCGAACTAAGCTGCTTTTTTAGTTTTTTTATACCCTCAGCCATATGGCTACAGAGGGTATATATCATTTGATACGGCCAAAACGTGCCTAGTTGAAATAACGGTTTTAGACCCTAGGTCTCTTTGGACCAAATCCGTTTTAGAACATTTGGAGTCGATTTAGCGATGTCCGTCCGTCTGTCTGGCTGGCTGGTGCGCACGATAACTCTCAAAGGGAGTATCCGATTTGGTCCAAACTTGGTACATCGCAATATTTTTGTCAAACTTAGATCGAGTTTGGAGATGGGCAATACCGTCCACTCCTTTTGGTACCTCCCACACAAAATGTCCAAATGTTCAAAGAAAATAATTTATTGCACAGAAAGAGAAAGGATAATCCGATTTTCCTCGAACTTTGCGAATCCTAATATTTTCATCAGTTCTAGTTCAGGTGCGAAAATGGACAATATCGGTCCACTCCATCAGGGACCTCCTCCACAAAGGGTCAAAATTTTGAATAATTACAACCCTTATAAAATGTGATGTAAGAGCCCGATAGTCTTCAAATTTCACACATCGCAATAATTTTATTAGCACAAGGTTTGGTGCGCAAATGGAATGTATCGGTCCACTCCTTCCGGTACCTCCCCCACAAAAGGTCGAAATTTCAAAAAATATTTTTTGCACACAAAGAGAAACGATAATCCGATTTTGCTCGAACTTTGCAAATGCTAGTATTTTCATCAGTGCTAGGTAAGGTGCGAAAATGAACAATATCGGTCCACTCCATCAGGGACCTCCCCCACAAAGGGTCAACATTTTAAATAATTATAACTTTTATAAAATGTGATGTAAGAGTCCGAATGTGATGTAAGAGCCCGATAGTCAAATTTCACATATCTCAATATTTTTATTAACCCAAGGTCTGGTGTTAAGAGGGAATACATCGGTCCACTCCTTTTGGTACCTCCCCCAAAAAAGGTCGAAATTTTCAAAAAATATATATAAAATATATTTTTTGCACAGAAAGAGAAACGATTACTCGGTTTTGCTCTAACTTTGCAAATCCTAATATTTGCGTCAGTGCTAGGTCAGGTGCGAAAATGGACAATATCGGTCCACTCCATCAGGAACCTCCCCCACAAAGGGTCAAAATTTTGAATAATTACAACTTTTATAACAACTTTATGATGTAAGAGTCCGAACGTCTTCAAATTTCACACATTCCAATATTTTTATAAACCCAAGATCTGGTGTTAACATGGAATGTATCGGTCCACTCCTTCTGGTACCTCCCCCACAAAGTGTCGAAATTTTGAATACCCATGAAGCTCATAAAACGCCAAATTAATATCCGATTCTATTTAGACTTGGCACATCTCAATATTTCTATCAACACAAGATCTGTTATAAAGGTGGTATAGATCGAACCATTTCTTCTGGTACCTCCCCTATACATAGGGTTCAAGATTTTGAAAAACAAAACGCACAAATAAAGCTAAATAAGCATCCAACTCTTTTCAAATTTCACACACACAAATATTTTTGCAAACACAATATCTGTTGTGAAGTTTATACGAAGGGTCACAATTTTCAATAATTTTATCTGTCATAACTTTCGAAACAATTTAGCAATTCTTTACTGTTTGCTATGCTCAAATATTTCTCTCAATAAGAAGCCTGATATGAATTTGAAATTTATCGGAATTTATGATTTCGCATAAAATTTGACATAAATAACTTTTCTTGTAATTTTACCCCATATTTCGCTCAATATCAGGTGAAGTATAAAAATGGAATATTTCGGTAGACTCTATATGGTAAATCACGCACTTTTTAACATTTTCTAAAAATTATACAATATCTCATATAAAGTAAGGGGTGAGTCGATATAATCCATACCAGGAACGGAATATTTATATCATATTTTTGAGTCTGATACGAAATGGGCAATATTGACCCATTCCTTCGAAATCGGCTCCATAGAGGGTCAAACGTTTGAATAATTGTAACACTAGTCAAATATATTTCGATTATTTAATCGAACATAGGCTGAGGGTATATATCTGTCGGCAATACCGACTGATACTTTTTAACTTGTTTTTAATAAATTTCGACCTGTCAAATAAGTAAAGTAACTGATCGACGGAGCTCTTTCAGACATTAATTTTGTGCAGGTGAGCATCAGCACCGATGTGCTACAAACGTAAGACAACAACACTATAAATGGTCTAGAACTTAGTGTACCTAATTTATTAAAAAATAGATGGTGATTCTATGAAGCTTTAATATGTATTATGCGGTTTCGAATTTAATTTCATTAAGCATAGGCTATCTATGCCAAACAATGACATAGATTGCCAAATAATCGATTCCACCCCACTTTCCCCATACCCTTACCGCTGTTCCATTGACATTCCTGTGAGAACATTATTAAAACAACTGTAGTTTTTTTTTTTTTTTTTTTGTCTCAAATTACAATATTTGTTTTTATTGTTTTCTTTTCGGCTTTTCTATTCAACAAAATAATAATAGTTACTTATAATTATTTAAACAAAATAATAATTAATTGTATTAACTATAGTTTCATTTGAAAAAAAAAATAAAATAAAAACTTCTATGTTTCACAACTAAATCGAATAGTAAAAATTAGAATTAGAATAATAGAAAAATAATAATAGTGATAATAATCATAATAATAATAATATAGCAAAACAATTAATATTTTGATGAAAAATAAAACTTTTCTAAAATTTAAACTAACAACAAACACGTTTTTGTTTTTGCACTACTACACACTACTTGAATTTGTTTCATCTTTCAATTTTTGTCGTTTCGTTTTTTTTTTGCATTTTTTTTTTCTTCTTTGTTAGTATTTCTTTTTTTATTCATTCTTCTCTTTGTGGTTGTTTTCATTCGTTTTCTTTCTCTGGATAGGTTTAGAAAATTATTATTTTATGTATGTATGTATGTGTGTTATCTTTTATTTATAATCAATTATTATGATGTTTTTGTTTTTTTTTTTTTTTTTTTTTGTTTGTTTTTATTATCATTTCTTTAACAATGTATATTTCTTGTGATTAGTTTGTTTTATAACTTCTTGCGGTTGTGTTCTAATGGTTTGCTTTGTTTTGTTCTGATTTTTTCCATATTTTCTTTGTTGGGTTTTCTTTTTTTTTACTTTTTTAGTATGAAACGCAAAACTTTCTACAACTGAAGAGGTTTGGGCAAAAATCTCCAAAAAAAAAAAAAAAACTGAAACTTAATTCCCCGGAAGAAAAGAAAGAAAGCATGAAAAACTAAATTCATTCTAATGAATTCATTAATTAATTATATCATCTAATAACAATTCTACTATTTTTTTTATATATATGTATATAAAAAAATAAAACTTTTATTTTGCATGATTTTTTCTGGCTTTTTTTCGTGTTTTCTTCTTTTTTTTTGTCAACTACAAAAGAATATGATTTTATTTTGTTTTTGTTTTGTTTCAAAGGAGGTAAACTAAGTTAGAAAAATCATTAAACAGTAACATTGTATATTGTTTTTTTTTTATTTTGTATGCATTTTTTTAACTAAGGTACATTATTTTTTTATTATAATAATAATATTATCTTGTTTTTATTTCTCGGCCTTTTTTGCTTCAAAATGTTGTTAGCAAATTTCTTTTTGTTTTTTTTTTTATTTTGCATTATTTTTTTCAATATTTAGTCTACAATGAGGTCTACACTGCTATGCGGTGTTTGAGTGTTTTTTTTTTTTTTTTTTCATTTTTATTTATATATAATATATTTTTTTGTATTCTTTCTTCTTTTCCTTGATAGTTTATTGTTTTTAAGCGGGTCTTGCAATTGTTGTTTTTTTTTTCTTGAAAAGTGAAGGGCTGGGCTGGAGTGGTGGGTAAAGGCAAAAATTACAGCAGTATTTGTTTAGAAGAAAACGAGACAATTGGCTGAGGAAATAAAGAAGGGGACAAATAAAAATTATTTTGAAAATAAAAGAGTAAATGTTTCCCTGCATTGCACTTCATACCAAATTATCGAATTAATACAGATAAAATGATTTTGAAATTAGGAGTGATTTTGAAAAACTGCTCTTAGTAGGCAAGAAGTAATAAAAAGAGTTGGAGTGACAATTTGGCAACTGATCTGACAAAATATAGGTGTAGAAATGTTCCCTCCTGCCGCACAACCTAAAACAAATGTTGCTTCAGTTGAGTTTAAATCAGATTCGACCAGGATATCAATTCTTGTTCATTGAAAAGGTGAAATAAAAACTTTTATAACATCCTTGTGTATGCACAATTTTATTATATAGTGTGTTCCAGAACCCCCTTTGTGAAACTATGTTGTACTAGTTGTACAATTTTTTTCTTGAAAAACTTTCTGGCAAATCAAACCCAAATGGTAAAAAATATTAGCATGGTTGCAAGCTTCTGATTGGCTGAGATGCTTATTTTGGCAAATCAGAGCGAAAATGCTCTCTTTTACTATTTCCACCATTGAAAGGTACGGGAACGCAACAAACATTAAAAAAAATTGGATATCTAATTTTTTTCGACGCAACTTTTTTTCAAAAAATTATTTTTAACTGTCGTTGATTTGAGTAGAGCTGATGGACATGACGGATTTTAAAAACTAAGCAATCCATTTCAAATTATTAGAAAACAAGTATTCAACGTGAGTAATTTTACGAATGTGTTGACGAAGTTGTTCGGATATTCAACTCATACATTCCCGTGAACATTTTCTTTTTCCCACACACATGCTGTTGGGTCTGGTCTCATTTTGGTGGACTCTGGTTTAAATTCCTCATTATGATACAACATTCCTTCCTTGAAGTCTTTAATTCCAGCGATAGAAAACAATTTCTAAATCAAATAAGAATTTTATGTCAGTATAAGCCTGAAGACATTTGTGCCACAATATGATGGTAATGGCTATTTTAGATTTGTTAATGGCTGGAAATCCGAGGCCCTCAAAAGACGTCATATTTCAGGCTATAAATGTGAGCTATAAGAACATTTTTTGCAAGAAAGTCAAGTGTGGAACTAGTCTTTTTTTTTTTTTTGTAATAATTTTTGACATGTTCCAATTTTGGCTGATCCAAATTGAAAATGTTTAGTTAAAAAATTTTCCCATTTTTTTGCCAATCAAATTGTTTACATTGTTGTTTTGAGAATCGGAGATGTTTTTTTCTTTTTTTTTATTTCGAACTACAATTTTTCAGATGAAATTCGAAACATTTTATTTAAAATTCAAGAATTTCCTTTAATTGAAAGTTGAGAATTCCTTTTGTATATCGTAATTTTTGTATTCAATTTGTTATTTGCGACATTTTATTTTCGATTCGAGAATACTATTCGTTATTCGTAAAATTTAATTTTAATTTCGAATTATTTCATTTGTAATTTAAATTTCATTAGAAATTCGAAACAATATATTTTTGTATTGGCTTCATATTTGCTTTTTCGAATTACAAATAAAATGATTCGAAATTCAAATAAAATATTCGCTTAAAAAATATTCGAATTACAAATGAAATATTTCGAATTTCAAATGGAATTTTACGAATAGCAAATGTTTATCTCAAATTACAATTGAAATATTTCGAATTACAAATGGAAATTCTATTGGGATTTTTCGAAATTCTCGAATTTAAAATGAAATTTTGCGATTTACAATTAAAATGTTTTGAATTGCATTTGAAAATGTCTTGGAATAATTAGCGGGAAAGAAGACCCTGTTGGGCTTGATTTTATTGAGTTATTTCAAAATTTCAAGAAAGTCCAAATAGGGCATTTTAAAAATTCATTTCGATCGATTTTTTTTTATCGAATCGAATAAGATAGTTTATTCTCAGTTCGAATCTGGCTGCTATATTCGCCATTTAAGTTCAAGGCCTATGTAAGGTCGGCCAGTAAGACCATCTGTAGTGGAATTCTTTGTTTTTTTTTTTTTTTTTTGAGTTGCCGAAAAAAATTCGTAAAATTAAAACGCTTATAATTTCGGTAATTAACGAAATTTGTCGGTTAGTTACCGATGGAATCAAAGTAGTCTCTAAGACCTGCCGATTGATACCAATGTTGTCAGCCTTAACTTGATTTTTTTTTTTTTTTTTTTTAACAAAATGTTGAATTTCAATTTTAAAGATTTTTTTGTCACTAGCTCAAAAAATGAGGTTGCCATCAAAAACATCATTTTAATTGAAAGAAAGTCAAATTACAAAATTTCTAGAACGAATAAATTTATTGTCAAATTGTAGTCTTTTTGACTGACCTTATATGGGCCTTGTTTTGTCGTCTTAGTTAGTTTTAGTCGTCCAACTGTGGGTAGAAAAATTGTTCAGATCTTTTCTTTACGCCTAAAGCTTAACAAGGAAACACATGGGGCAGGAGTTTCTAATAGACCATTTACATATAAATCTCTACGTGGGTTAACCTGAAAATTCATCACCCACAATTGATTTAATTTTTTTTTGCTATAATCTAATTTATTTTGATTTCTCAATTAATTGGGTTAACCCGAAAAATATAATTAACTTCCGGAAAATCACTGCCTTAACTACTGTGTAAACCTGGGATAACGAAATACTAGATACAAGTTAGTTCCTATTATTAAACAAGTAAGCAAAGGCTACAGTCGAGCGGGGCCGACCGTTGAATACCCTACAACACTATAATAAACGATACAGTTTATATAGGCAAGATACTCGAAAGAATTCCACAAGATATTGTGACAAATAATAAAAGAAAACCATCAGGTTTCGTTCTCTAATTTTCGAATAATAGCAACCTTAACTAATTTGCTTATTTCCAATTTATTGGTAGATGTTGCACTTAAATGGTCTTCCTAGATCTGGAACGAATATTTCCCAAAGACCTATAATCTCTCAGAAGTGGCAAAAGATTAACATTGATTATTGGTTTTTGACTAAAACGCATCTATATGAGATACAGTGATTTGACTATATTCTTCAACGAAATCAGCGCTAACGAAATAGTCAGAAGTGCGAAATCTCCAAAAAGTCACTGGAATGGACATTTTCGTGTTTTGTCTATAAAAGTTGGCAAACTCCTTCACACATTGAATATTTTTGATGGCCATCCAAAACTGCTTGGTTTTTGCAATGTCCGGTAATCCCCATTCAAATGTGCGTGAGGATTGGGCGGTAATTACGACCTCCTGACAATTTTGCAGTTTTTTTGGTCCATTTCAACCCCTAAATATATGGCGATCATCTCCAAAAAGGGTAGGCTTCTATTCTGACCCTCATCTGATCCCCATGCCAAATTTCGTTAGGATCGGGCCATAAATGCGATCTGTATATGATATCCTGATATCGTAACTACTTAGTTTTGTTAGCTGTAGAAATATTACCAAATGTTTAATTCAAAATGAAAATATGCCAAAAATATGACAAAATTGAAAAAATATGAGAAAATTTTAGAAAATCAATATTTTCATCTTTAAAGAGATATTTTTATGCGATTTTTTTAGACGTTTTTCCTTTCCTGCCAAGAGGCCATTCTGAATTAGTGAGAACTGTCGAAATCAGTTCAGCCGTTCTCGACATATATGAGATCTTTCAAGCATATCTCCTTTGATAGACATATATATCGCACATATTTTGCTATATATCCGATTTGTTGGGTCTTAACATCAATGTAAAGGTCAGAAGTAACCTTGACATGGCTTTGTGATTTCCTCAGGATATAAAATATTCCCGATTTAATGAAAATTTTTAAATTTTTCAACAAAAAAGATATGGTCTATTTTACCCGCTAAATATTATCCGATGACCACCCAAATTGGTAGGCTTCTTCCCCGTCCTAAACTCTAGCTACATGCGAAATTCCGCGTCGATTGGTCTATAATTGCGACCTGTATAGCTACTGCAAAATCCAAAATTTTTTTAGTATTTGGTCCATTTCAACCCCTAAACATTTGGCGATCATCTCCAAAAGAAATAGGGTTCTATTCTGACCCTAGCCCCACCTCCATTCTAAATTTCGTTAAGATCGGGCCATAATTGCGACCTGTAGAGTGATTACAAATTAACATGGACAGACGGACAGACGGACGGACGGACATACATAGCTAGATCGACTCAGCTCGGCGAGCTAGGAAGATCCATATATACTTTCCTATGTGGGAAATCAGTATTTCGTGGTGTTACATAATTTTTGGCCCAATCAAACTTATAATACCCCCAACACATAGTGTTGTAGGGTATAAACATTACATTCGAAATAATGTACGATTTTCAATCACAAAATTTTACAATTAACAAAATTTGAAAATATTTATTTTTCTAATTCGTGTTCTGTTTAGGTTTTACTGATTTTTCGGGGATTGGAAACTGCAGGCTCTGGAAAAGAATGATTCTGAATAAACAATTAAAACATAGTTAATTGTTCGAAGTGAAGATTTTTACATTGGTACAATTGATTTTTAAGGTGAGAATACATAAAATGCTTTTTTGAATGGCTTAAGTCATCGACTGTCTTCTTCCTTTTTTAGACTGACTTAGTTGGATGTTGACCCTTTGCTACTTTGTTGTTTTCCGAAGATGCCAGCCGATGACTTAAGCCATTCAAATAAGCGTTTTATGTATTCTCACCTTTATTTAGTTACCTCAGTCCTTGCCCATTTGAGTAATAAGGTCGTATGTAACTGTTAACCTAGTGACTCAGGTAAGCATTTTCGTACCGCATGTCAAATTTTAGGTTGCAATCTAATGTGTTCTGATTTCTGTGAGATATATTATTAAAAGGTTTGAATGCAGGCAAGAGAAAAAGTAATTCTTTTTTCGAAATTATTTATAATAGTCGTAGTATTCTCTAGAAATCTGCACGAAGAAGCCTAAAGGGAATGAGGAATCCGATTTCATTCTGGGCTTTGTGTTTCGTATTGCCGCAGCTAAATCAATGTCAAGCACTTTAAAAGTACTGCCATCTAATAGTCAACCAACGACGAAATCCTAAATCCCCCCCTTCTACTTATGTTTTTAACGAAAAAATACGAACGAAAATGTCAGAAAAACGGAGGAACTCTGTTTCGGACAGAAATTGTATGCGTATGTTAGGGAACATCAAGATTTTGCTGACGCATCTTGCTGGTCCGTTTCCATTAAATGTTTTCTCGACATTTTTCAATTTTATTTTACAATTTTTTTTTTATAAATTTTGAATTTATTGGGGTTGCCACAACCATCACAACTCCTAATGAAATTAAATAGAAAATTTTAAAAATATCAAAGCTTTTTGAGAATGGACGAGAGCTTCCAAAATATTTGCAAAAAATTAAAATGAAAGGAAAAATCAATAAAACAACAACATCGACTGTCGTTAAAAAGTTACGGAATAAGCCAACTGACCTTTGGACTCCTCTGTGTACCTTTCTAGAGATGTTTTCACATATTTTTGAAATAAAAAAAACCAAATCAACTAACAAAAGGGGCACATAAAATGAAAAGGCTGCTTCTTTAATTAAATTAAAACCGAAAATGCCATAATTACTTATGTCTCTTTGGGGAATATTGATTTTGCCATAGCATAACACTCGCTTAAAACTTCTTCTCATATTTAAATATGGATTATTTATGTGTCTGTTTCGTTCTGATATTCAAGGAAAATAAAAAAATATCTATCAAATCTGCCAGTCACCTAGCCTAACGTACCATGTTTCATTTTCACAATGGCTGTATGAAGATGTGAAGAATTAAACCAATACTCTTAAGATATTTGTTGTTGTTCTTTTGTTTTAATTAATATATATATATTGTATAGCTCTTGATCTTTTTCCTTTATAATAGTATATTTAATAATTCATTTATTAAATAGGTTTTGTATTTGTTTTCATTTTGTTTTTCTATGTAGTTTTCTTTTTAAGTATTGTTGTTGTTGTTGTTGAAGTTTTTCTTTATAAGACGACAAACCAAAATTAAAAAATAATTAAAAATTAAAAGAAAAAAAATCTAAAATAAAATATTTAACATTAACATTTCTTCGCACGTTTTTTTCTTTTTTGAGGAAAAAAAAATAATCATATATGTATGTATGCATGTAACAGTAACAGTAGTATACAGTTTAAATTAAACTTATAAGTGTAATTGTGTTGTTTGAGGTTATAACAAGAAATTTTAACGTAAACAAATTATAATAAAATAGTGGCTGTTATTGTTGTTTTAAAATTTTAGAAATAAAACTAAATGTAAGGGGGGGGGGGGAAGAAAAAGTACAAGGTGGGATATTTGGAGTTGTTTTTTTTTTTTTTTTTTGCTTTGTAGAAGCTATATGATGGGGATAGAGGATGTTTGGGGAATAGTTGGGGTAAGGGCCAGAAGTATGGTTACAAAGTATTTCAGTTTCGGGTCTCAAAAGTTAGGAAATTTTCTAATTTACAAAAAAGTATACAAGTTAAGAAAGTTTTGTTGTTGTTGTTTTTTGTTCTGTAGTTAAGTGGCTCTAAATATGCGACAGATGTGTGTGTGTGTTTAGTTATTACGATTTTATTCAAAGAAATGTAATCATTTACACATTAAATTTCCCGATTTCAAATGTGTACAAATTTGAATTAAAATCATAGATTTTGAAAAATCCAATTAAAAAAATTTTGCATTTAATGTCTTCTCCAAGTCGAGTAAAATCACAAACGATAAATTGGTCAACAAAAAGAAGTCACAAGATTAACATTTTGAATGTTTCCAAACACGTTGAGAACTATAGATAATAATCTAAAATTAAGAATTAAAATCAAATATTCAGTTTTGTAAAATCTTACATTTCTTGAAAAATCATAAAAAATTACAAAAATTACAACTGAGGCTTTCTGATTTTGTTTTACAACATAAAATCGCATGGTTTCTTGTATAGATTTGAATTTGTTTTTATTTTATTATATTAATTTGTAATTTATGTTGTAATTTCAATAAAACATGTTTTTTTTTAACAAAAAACGCAGGTGGTGTTGTTGTTGTTGGTTGGTTTCTTGGTTGGTTTCTTGGTTGGTTTCTTGGTTGTTCTTTGTTTTTTTTTTTTTTTTTTGTATTACTCAACTACATATTTAGTTTTCTTGTTCTTGTTGTTGCTGTTGTTATCATTATTCGTTTAATTTTTTAATAGTATAGGTATTATAAATCCAGACAGAAAAGAAGTGTTGTGGTTTTTGTTATTAGTATACATAATTTATGTAAACCATAGTTATTTTCTTGTGTTTTTATATGAAGAAAGAAAATCAGCATTACACATCCTGGAATTTAGAGAGACGTGCACGCAAGTCCATGTTCTCCTGTTTAAGCTGTTCCACCTCTTGGTGTAATGTGGCATTCTAAAAAAAATAAAAAAATCATGAATTCCAAAAATAAACCTCATCAACTTGACATTTCCACCTACCTCCTTTTCCAAATATCGCGCCCGCATGGCAATTTGATTTTCCTTTTGACGGCGTGCATCGCGTGAACGTTTGGCAGCAATGTTGTTCTTTCGTCGGCGAGCCCAGTATTTGTCATCCTTGAGTTCATCTGGAACAAATTGTTTGCGTGATTTTTTGATCATGGGTTGCGGTTTGAGCTCTTCATCAGAAAATGCTCGTGTGCGCGGATCGAAATCTCGCCCCGATGATGCAAAGGAAAATGCTGGAATATCAAATACTAAATGTTAACAATGTTTCACAAACTGTCCATTGTAAACTAAAATTATCGGAGTTTCAAAAAAACCAAACCAAACAAACAAAAGAAAACATAAAAAAAACAATTCAAAGAAAAATATAACAACGCAGGTCAAAATGAAAAAATCTAATAAATTGGCAAAATATATTTTATTTCCAGATCCTCCACAACAAGAATTTATGTTTTCTTCTAAAATCCAACATTTTGTTGAGGACACAATAGTAAATCTGCTATGTTTTTATAACGTTAATATAAATAGTGTTCTCCTAATTGTAAATTGTACTTTTTTCCAGCGAATTTTTTTAAAACATAACTCCTGGAATAACAAATTACATTTCGAAACTATATATTACAGATTTTGGAAAACATTGTAACATAAAATAATCCTTTATTTTCGATACCATTGACGTAGCCGATCACAGTTCCAAGCCATTTTCTAAATATTGTGTAATATTGGAAACAGTACCAAGTACCCAAAAATTAATTTCGAAACCATTTCGGGGTGGTCCAAATAACAAAATATTGAATCCTCCTTGTAAAATATTCAAAACTTTCAAAAAAGAAACCATTTCGGGGCCAGTCTCCCAACACCGAACCTTGCGTAAGTCCCTAAAGGAATAAATGGCTTGAGAACTAAAACTGCATTTGGGGGGGGGGGGGACCTTAAATTTCTCAGGTAAGATGAAAAAAATATGGATAATCTTGAACATTTTATGTTCTGTTCCTTAAGAAACCAAAATACTCAATTACGGCCAAATCGCATGTAAATGCCTCAAATCGGACCGTTATGGTACATTTTTAGTGCCAAAATAAAAAAAAACGTTTGAGGACCTATACTATTTTTGAGTGGTGTATAAAAAACCTTTAAAAATATAGGCTGTGAAATTCAAACTCTTTTAAGGTTTGCTCAGTTGCCCTAATACCTCAGATTGTAATACCCTAGATCGTTACTGTAAAAATTAATTATTTTGCTAAAAGCGCAGTTTTAATATAGCGTGCATTGAAGAAAATGGCAAACATCTCGTGTTTGTGGGAATCTTTACTCAATTTGCGTCTTGCGAGAGAAAAATACTCGCCAGTGGGAGTACTCGAGTTTTGCAAGATAGTTTACTCACCACTCTTTTGTTTACGAAAGATAAAAAAATCTCAGTAAATATAAACTTAAACTTGTTTCCATAAGTCAAGAAGAGAAAAAAACAGAAAGATTTTGTGTACAAAAACAACAAAGCAAAACTGCAAGCAAAAATATCCCGGAGGTGACTTCGAAGTCACATCTAGGCGATAGAAATCATCGCGGCTGATATCGCTTTATCATCGTGGAAATTATATCCTTCGGGAAGAAATGAACCATGTCCGCCATAGCTTTAAGCGAGACTAAATAGCGAACACACCGTTACTTCTAATAATCACGGAAATCAATTCCTCGACAGTTATTGGAAGTAAAAAAATAATTTTATTATTTTTTAATTTTTGTATTGTTATTAGTACTTTTTCAGAGAAAAGCGAGTATGCTACTATTTGAGTCACAGTCACGGTCAATATTTGCATATGCTTCAATCACAAATTTATATGGCCTGCTCTATCGATTTTAATAAAGATCTCATGCATTTTTATAAAATTTGAGCGTTTTTGTCAACAACGTTTCTGTCTCCTAATTTTAACAATTTTGAAAGTTTCAAACGATTTCTTGATGTTTGAGGTTCCCTGAGATTACAAGCTTCAGCCTTCCTGCTGAAATGTAGGTTCACTGCCATGCCCAGATACTCCTCACTTCCTATATTCTTCAGTTTTGGCCAGAATTTCCAATCAAAATTATTCCAATTAGGCATCTTGGAATTAAAATGCGCCTTAAGGTGTGGGCAGCTTGAAGTCTTCGCATGGCATATTTTGTGAAATATTATAAAGGGATACCAGAGCCACACGCTAATCCTGCCGTCGTTTTTCCCTTATACTTTGACATTAATATGTCTGGTCATGATGCCAAGCTGCTCATGTATTCACACCTTTAAGAATGTTTTTTTTTTTCAACATCGGTCAAGCTCTCGACATAGGCCCATATAGCGTGACCTGTCGATCTGTAATGTTTGGAAGGCTCCAGCCCCTACTGGTGCTCTTAGTGGCCGGAATTTTTATTGATAACATTTTTTCCAACATTTTTTTTAATTTTATTATTTTTTATAGCACACAATTAGGCGGTTTTCAGAATTTGTATACAAAAATGAAGAACTTTGTGTATACAATGCGATAAATTCAGGCTCGTCTCATAAAAATGAGGATTTAAAATGCTAACGCCAAATTACCAATAGCACCGAAAATTTTCAGTCTTCAAAAAATGTAGCCCATCAATGAGCTACGCCAATAACTAGCAACACATTACAAAAAGATTTGGCCGAGAGAGCTAATGCTACTTGAAATCGTCAGCAAAGGCAAATTTTTAAACCTAAAAGAAATTTAAAAATTTAAAGAAATTCTATTAAAATATTTTTTACCTTTCATTTAGTTTCAAAATTCTGGGGAGCGTCTAAATGTACAAAAATCACATTGCATATAACTCAAATCGGGCCTTTAAAATTTGTACACATTTCGAGTCTACCTTCAGTGCTGACACACACGATTTTTTTTTTGTGGGAAATGATATGTCTATATTTTCTGACTAATCCTAGCGAACATTTAAGTTTCCATATATTACCTAATAATTTTCATCCTTAACCTAATAAAATCGCTCAAAACTTAGAATGCAGCTTACTACATGTTTGTTTAGTTTTTATCCAAAGAAATGTTCAAGCTATCTATTTTCAATATTTCAAATAATCGAAAAATAATTAAACTGGCCCTGAATTTTCATTTTCCAACCAATAACAGTTTATACATCAATTTTAACATTTAGCATTTGATGGATTTCAGTATAGTCTCTTTAAATATTTTATGTAAATAATTATTAGATATTTTACAAGAGCAATAAAACATTGCAGGACTCCAGAATAAATCGTCATGAAATTATAAAATTATGGAATTTATATTTGTTTTTTTTTTTAGTTTTGGTTAAAAATCTAATTACTATTGTGTCCATACCAAAATGTAGTTCAATTCAAAAAAATTTTGCAAATTTTGTTCCACAGAAATGTTAGTAAGAAATAACTATTTTACAGGGATTAAATTGAAAATGTAATTGGGGCAAGAATAAAGGAAAGGAAACCAAACAAAAGTAAGTAAAGGGAGGCGGGGTGATCAATATCATTATCTACTCTAGCGGTAACCTGGTGTCTTTTCTTTTGCTGTTCTTTTTTTGTTCATTTTCTTTGCGTTGGTTGGTACTCACTTGACTCAGCTGGTGATGGTGGATTTAAGGTATCCGGACTTATGCAGTCTGACGGTGACGGCGATCGTTCACGTTTTGTTGTTATGTGTCCGAGTCCCAGGGACAGACCAGCTGCATGACTTAGGGAATCTGAACGATGACCCAAACTACTCGAATGACCCAAATGGGTACCAGGCAAGCCATCAGGTATATTGTTCTCCGACAGAAATTCATCTAAATCGGCATACTGTGCCAAAACGAAAAGAAAATGCATAGCAAAAATGTTCGATTTAGGATATGTTTGAATGTTTGCGTGTGAAATAGATATATATATTTTCAAATAAAAGTGTTTGTGAAATAGATGTTATACAAATACAACATGGGTGGTCAAGTTCACTTTTCGTTGTCCACATGGTGTGAAAAATTATAAAAAAAAAAAACAAAATAAATGCCTATTCTCAATATATAGTTCTTTTTGGTATTTGAAATCAAGCCAGAAGAAATTATTTTTAAGAATCAATGCGCTTATCCAAAAAATGCAATTCTTTTTTTTCTGTAATTTCCTTTAAGCATCGAAGTGTATTTTTATATAATTACGGGTGTTCCTTCCATTCAAGTCTTGATTAGTAAAAATTCTCCATTAAACATAGAGAGAGAAAAAGTTGCAGCTATATTAAGCTTGAAAATTGGCTATGTCTGCCCAAAAATTCGGGGTAGCAACACATTTTCTAAAGAATTGTCTCTTTTCATGAAATTTGGAAATCCAAATATTAAAGGATTTACAAATTTCATGAAAAGTATTTCTATATAGACTCGCCCTGGCATAGGGCACTTTCGAGTTTCTTAAAACGGTGATTGTTATCAGGAATTTCAAATTGTCGGTGTTCAGAAAGCTTTCAGCTTCTTTGGACTAAAGAGAAGTTTAAAGGTAAAAAATTAGCTAGTCTTGATTACTTATTGAGAGATTCTGATAATATTTTGAAAATATCAGCTTTAATGCATGGAAGCCCTTCATATGCTCAAGGCGGGCTCGTAGTAATGACCCGATAATTTTCATAAGGAAATTTGGCTGAAGCGAAAAAACACAGGAAGTCGGTGGTTTTACTTATATAGCCCTCTTACAGGAAAAAGAATACCGGTTTGACCCAATTATTATACCCTACACCTCGAAACATACATTTTACACCCCACATAGTATATGTCGATGTCGGATAATCTGTCCCTCTGTCCGTCCGTGGAAATCATTCTAGCTTTCCAACGAAATTAAGTAGGTTGTTGAGATTTTACTCAGATCTGTGTTAGGTCTGCAGAAATTTTGGTATTGAAAAGTTTTGAATTGCCCCCATTTTACTCAAAATATTAACCCAAATTTGCTGTAAATTGACAGCTGTTTTCTCATCATATAAGAGACGTCGTTGCATAGAACTGTCAATATAGGTCTATGTTCTGGTATAGTCTCGGTATTTTAATTATTTATGTCATACTTTACCCCGGAAACATTTGAAATTAAAAATTTTAAGTTTCTAATGGATACAACATTCAACGACAGAAGATTTCTAAAAACAGGTCCAAGTCTTCGTATAGCCCTGCTATAACTGTACCTCACTATATTCGGTATTTCGATGACATTATTCACGAGAGTTGTATCAAACTTCGTATTTAAAATTTCTAATAGGTACTCGAGCCTATGACAGAAAATTGTCTATGCAGGTCCAGGTCCCGGTATAGCCCCTATGTAACGGTAACCCCCAATATTCGTTATTTTAATGATTTTAGCGAATTTATTCAACGGAGTTGTTTCAAGTTTTGTATTTGATTATCGTAATGGCCTATGGCCAAAATTCGACGTCTTCGTATAGGTTTCAATATAACGGTAACTCCCTACATTCGGCATATTTGTGATTTTAGCACTACTTTTTAAATATTTTTTTTTTTTTGAAATTAGGCCTGCCGAACTTACTACCTTTTCACTTAATTTTCCAAAGTTTTTTCCAAAAATTTTCTGAATTTTGTGCAGATTTAAATTATTGTGAAATTTGGAATTTGATCATATGTTCAGACATGTAAAAATGCTTACTTATACAGAGTGAGATAAAAAAACTACAACTTATACAGGGTGAGATAAAAAACCCCAGTCACAATAGGCCAACGGATTGGTATCCGGAGATTTTGATGGTCATTGTGCGCTGGAAATGAAGCGAGGAACCTTAGTTTGTAACCATTCTTGGGTGACGCGTGCTGACTGCGATGGTGCCGAGTCCTTTTGGAATGTCCAAGGTCTGCGGCCAAAATATTTGCGTGCCTAAGGCTTTGTGTGCTGGAAATGAAGCGGTGAACTTCATTTTGTAACCATTCTTGGGTGGCGCATGCTGAGTGCGATGGTGCCGAGTCCTTTTGGAATGTCCAAGGTCTGAGGCCAGAATATTTGCGTGACTAAGGCTTTAATACACCTTTCAGAATATTTTCGCAATAATATTCGTCATTTATTCTGATGCCACGGTCGAATAATACGAGCGAAGAGCTACCATAGGCTACCGCCATAACGGCCCACACCATCACCATGGCAGGGGCTTGAGTTCTGGTGGCCAACCGAAGGTGCACATTTTCAGCTGACCTCTTTAGCAAGTAAACACGATAATTTTGTTTGTTTACAAACTGCTGGACAACGAATGTTTTCTGATCGGAGAAAACCGAATTCGACAGTTTACCACTTTCGGTCATGCGAAGCAACTCTTTAGCTTTTGTGAGTCTATTTTCTTTCTGTTGCGGTGTAAGTTCTTGCACTTTTTGGAATTTCAATGGCTTTGACCCGAGCTCTTTTTTTAATATTTGCCGAATGGAATATTGCGATGTATTCATCCATTTTTCAGCCACTGCGACGCAGGTTTCTATCAAGTCACTTCTTTACTTTTCGAACCATTTCTGCTGATGTTGCTGTTTTCTTATATTCACTTCCTTGACGTCGGGCTGCGCTACCAGTATCACGGTAATGAGCGATGGTACGAGACACAAAAGATTTATTCACATTTATAAGCTGGGGTGCTCTAACGATAGCCACTTGTGGTTTTCCAGCCAATTGTAAGGAAATCACACAATCACGCTTGAATTCCATCACGAATAACTTTTGGGCTGGAACATTTTCACCAAAATGATTTTGTACGCTAGTAAACAATATAATGAACTGTCACTGGAATAATTTTAACAGCTGTTGGACGAGTGGCTTAGAAATGAAAGCAGTCTGAAATTGGTTGCCGTTTTTTTTTTATCTCACCTTGTAGACGGGAAGATCTTCGAGATAAGTTGCCATAGGGAAAATACATGTCAATTAACTTCCCATAACCTTAGAAAAATATAATTTGGTTTCCTACCCTAGATTACCAAATCGAAGAATCTCATTTGGCATTTCACGTAAAAAGAACTTGTTGCATTCTCTAAAAGAACATATTGAAATTTTTTAGCGAAAAATATAATTTGGTCTTTAATTGAGAAATACTTTTAGAGCAGACCAACTGTTCTCGTATGGAAGAAACCCATTTGTCCTCCCTTGGAAGATGATCTTTCTTCTTCTAAAAAAAGCGGTTGACCTAGTCTCTCAGAGAGAAGTTACGGTAATCTGTAATGAGAGAAGACGACAAAGCTTCTATTAAAAAGTTTGCCCATTTAATGTCTTGAAAATAAGGCCCTTGACCATTTAATCTTCTAGAAAAAAGAAGTTATGTGGTCTTCTACCACATTTTTTCAGAAAAGAAGTCTCTTTGGGAATGTCTTTTGGAAGAAGATCTTGTTTTTTCGGGTTTCTTCGAAAAATAAGCTACTCTTTCTTAAATAAGTAAATAATTCGTTGTGACTGATTTCAAAACTATATATTGTTAATACGTTAGGTTATTTACAATGCATTTTTAGAAACAAAATGTCGACGATTGTGTTTATATTTTGATAAAATGTTTTTACACAAAATAACGATGAAACAAATGCAATGGTATGCCACTACTACAAAAGCATCAATTTTAGTAACATTTCACGTGAACACTGTGTGTGTGTGTGTGAGAGAGATGTCTCGTTTGGGTTGAGTAATAAAATTTACTCATTTGGAATACAAATTTTATGAAAACAGTTTTGTGTTTTAATTTTGAAAAGAAATTTCCAAATCAAAAGAATAATAGTTAAATTTTGTAAACATAGATGAATGAAGATATGGACAATGCATTGGAAGTTTTCTCCCTCACAGCGAAGATAGACATACTTCATTGGCTTGCTTTCTTAGTCGATTTGCTGTTTTCGAGAGCAAATTTAGGCTTTCAAGGAATTCATATGTTTGTTTGCAAATTTTCAAAGTTATTATTTTTTTTTTTATTATTATATTATTATGTAATTATATAATATGTCATATAATATCAAAGCACAATATATATTAAAATTGTCTAATCTTTAAATTCGTGAGCATGAGTATGTTCAATGGGCTCTAAGCTGTGAGAACATTCCGTAGTCGTCTATATCTTCATTAGTCGGCGGTGTAAATTTCTTAATGAGTAAATTTCATTATTTTAATTAGTAAAATTTATAGTGAACAATTTTTTTCTGTTATAGGTATATGTTTGTACGTGTGTAGTCGATTTCACAAACAATCGGATTACAATGTTGGTCATAAAAATAGCAACTAATTATTTTAATTTTCATTTAATTAATGATTTAAATATCAAATATATTAATTTGTTTGTTTTACTTTATTAAAATGTTACTATTGTTAATCGATTTTGAGATCATAGAGTGAAGGCCAAATTGTCATGCGAGCCAAAATTTTTTTTCGGAATAAAAAATAGGAAAATGTTTACTTTTTAAATCAAAATGTCGATAAATCTTTCATTTTATGTTGAACGAGGACAATATTGCACACCTACATCCAAGGGACCTCATACATGTTTTATGTCCAAATCGATTTCAAAGTCTGTAAACCTAGAAGCCTACAGTGTCCTCAATATGAAATTTCAGTATTTTAGCTCTATATCTTCACCCTATACAAAATTTAGTAATATATAGTACGCATATCCGAAACAATCCACATGCCTCCATCCTAGACACCAACATTGCTTCAAAATTATTACCATTTAGTATTTTTTGAATAATTGTACTACGCATTTGCAACTTATTATTCCACTAGAACATAAAAAGTCAAATCACTATCATTGCGTTTTGCCCACACTTTAAAACATTTGAAAGTATCGCATTGGAAATTTAAATACCAACTAAGAAATCAAAATATTAAAAACTTGTGGTTCAAATGAAGAAATCGGGAGTAGCCTCCGAAATATCCAGAATCGAATGACGATGTTATTAAAATGTTATAAAAAAGCAGTAAGTTCGGCCGGGTCGAACTATAAATACCGTTCTCCATTTGGAGGCATTTGGAAATTAAAAAAAAAACCTGAAATCTTAGAAATACCGAATATAGTTAGTTATATTGGGGTCTGTACGAAGTCTTGGACCTGCATAAACAAGTTTTGTCATAGGTCATTACAATATTCAAATACTAAACCTGAAATATGTAATTCCAGTGAATAATGTCACAAAAACGTAAAAATACAAAATATGGGGAGGTACTGTCATATTGGGGCTAAATGAACAAATGGACCTGCAGACACAATTTTCCGTCCAGGTAGTAGTACTCGTTATGCACTGCAAATACGAAATTTGAAACGATTCCGGTGAATAATATCCCGAAAATCATCAACATATCGAATTTAGGGAGGTACCGTTATATGGGGGCTATACGAATACGTTATCAACCTAAATCAATTCGTTCGGAAGCTAGAGTGATTTCCACAGACGGACAGATAGATGGAATTAAGAATTTTATGCTGATCAAGAATATATATACACTTTGTGTGGTCTAAAACGTGTGTATATTTCGAGGTGTTAGAAACAAAATGACAATCTTAATATGCCCTCCATATTACGGTGGAGTGTATAATAATAATTGTGATGCAATATTTTTAGGCTTAGCCTTTTTCTTAAAGTACAGACCTAAATAATTTTACAGATTTGATATATGGTTATTTGCAAGTGTTAAATCTTAAAAAAAAATTGTATTCTAACTGTTTGCTATTTTTATGACCACAACTGTATGATGAGCCTAAAATATGGGTATGTTGACCTTTTGTTCTTTTTGTTCCGCCATCCATATCCATATTTTATTCTGAAAAATTATATGTACAACAATAAGTTTATGTATTTTGACTAAGAAAAAAGAAAACACTGACGCAGCCACTACAGAGCGAGCGATGGTGATGATACTAACTTGTGTTACCTTAAGATCAGCATCGTAGGGCAGAGTTTTCTCCCACAGATTGGGGCCCAAAAATGCGGTCTGAGCCTCAACATTCCAGAGATCACCTTCTTCTTTGTATTTGTCATCGGGACAAATTACCTCTTTGCTATTCGATGTGGATTTACCTGTAATTAAAAGAACACAAATAACGATTAGCCATTACGGGAAAGCAAACATTAATTCCAAATAGCTCATGCAGGAAATATTAGAAACAGAAACAATTTTTTCCAACAACAGTACTCGTCTGTGACTTTGGTCATTGTCTGTCTCGGTGGCATTGGCCTTTATTCCATAAACATTTTTTTCTGCTGTTTTATTTCACACTTGTTCATACAATTTCATTATTCCTGTTTCTATTCCATTTCAAGTTCATGTTCAAGTTCTTAAAGCTTTGGCGATTTACATTTTGTTTTGCACTTTGTTTTATTCTTCGAAGCGGTTTTGTGTTACTACTGAACATTTTACAGTTGTATTAGTTCCTTTCTATCGCTATCGTTTATTAGTTCTTTAAGCAAATATGAATGTTTTAATTACTTTGTAAGGTTTTTATATTCGTTGTTGCATCGTTGAGAAGATAGCCCACTAACTGACCCCTCTCACCACCCATTTCTCTTAGGTTATCTATATTGTGTACAACATTGTGTATTTCAACTGCTTTTGAGGGAACAAAATTCGCACACTTGGTCAAATATTGAGACCCATATAAAATAGTGATACCATAGAAGAAGAAGAGAAGATAACTAAAATAAATAAACTTTTTTCTAATAATAACAAATATGAGAATTACACGCAATTTACGAAATGAAACGTTAAACGAGAATATTGGTGAAAAGTGTAACTAAGTTTAACGGGTTTTTGAAAAATACTCTTATGAATTTTTGAGTGTACACTTATCAGGGGTTTTGTAAAAAATACAAATAAACGGAATACAAAGTGAGCAATTCATTATTGTACAAGGTGAGATGAAAAAACTGCAACAAAGTAAAATGCCATCATTTTTACGTTTTCTTTTTTTTTCAATTTTATTAAATGAAAGCAAAAAATGTCGGAAATAGCATCAAATTTTAGAATAAGTTTAGATTTGTTCGAATTTGTCACCTTCGGCACGAATTATGGCCTTCGAATATTTTCCACGGTCGATTAATACGACCGGAGTGCGACCCATCGACTGTGAAGTGAAGGCTCACACCATCACCATGGCCGGCGCTTGAGTTCTGGTGGCCAACCGAAGGCGACGAGTGATGGTACGAGACATAAAAGATTTATTCACATTTAAATGCTGGAGTTCTCTAACGATGGTCACTTGTTGTTTTCCAGCCAAATATAAAGAAATCACACTATCACGCTTGAATTTCATCTTTTTTTTCTGGAAAATTCTCACCAAGATGCTTTTGTACGCTTGTAAACAATGTAATGAGCTGTCACTGCAATAATTTTAACAGCTGTCGGACGAGTGACTTTAAAATGGCAGCAGTCTAAAGTTGGTTGCAATTTTTTCATCTCACCCTGTATTTTATGTCAGCTGGACTTTTGGTATGTACCATATTTTGGTATAGGCCTCATATGACTGTACCTCAAATGTAACTTTGTGTTCCCCGCGTGTAATAAACTTCCCTGCATAGAACTTTCTATATAAGTCCAAGTTTATGACTGTACCTCCAGATATTCGGTATTTGAAAGATTTAAGCTGCATTTTTAAAAGAAACATCTCAAATTTGGTACTTGGCGGAACCTTCTCTGGCAGATAATTGACCATTTATACAGTACACTGTAAAAAACTTCTTACCAATAATTGGTATTTGGCGGAACATTATCTGGCAGATAATTGACCATTTAAGTCCACATTTTAGTATAGCTCCATATAACTTTAACACCCGGTATTTGGAATTTTGAAATTATTGCAGATTTTTTAATAGATTTTTTTACATTTTACAATTTCCTTCTAAATGGAGCAGAGTATTAGCTGCTTTTTACTTGTTAATAGCAAAATTGACAAAGAAAAAGTTTCGTACAAATGTTCATGAAAATCTCCTTGTTTTCTCCTATTTTTTTTTTCTTACAAAACACTTTGTTTCTATCTCCTTTTGGCTGATAAACGAGTATTTTTTCCTGTCAAATGTCATAATTTATTACTTGACAGATTTATTAGCAGAATTAGGAGTGTATGCTGAGCAGTCTATATGATAAATTCTGTAATCATAGCGGATTGGTTTTCCTGTTGAACTAATCTGTAGTTTGGTGTGTTCACCACCATCTCTTAGCAAAAATAAAAAATAGCAGAAAAGAAAGCCATTTTGGGTTTCCCTCTCTCAAGTTTAGCTCCAAAGTTAGTTTGTTTCGGGTGCATGGGACTGCTTACCTAGCAAAAAAAAATGCTAAATTAGTAGAATATTGGCCCGCAGAGTCGCTTACCTAACATTGAAGATATCTGCATTGTTGTGCAGATAAGTGGGATTTTGCTCAATAGCTTCTGCTAGAAAATTTGCACTATTAGGGACAAATTTTACAAAAATTATAGAATGTAATTAAGACCCGAATACACACATGGTGTTAGAGTTCTTTGTAAATCGACTTTTCATATTTTATTTTTATGGCATACTTTAAGGAGTTGACGCCAACAATTTCCAAGTCTAAAAGTTGCGCTGTATTTCATAAACTATATATTATAAATTGCCATAAAATACACTTGTATTTTATTTTATTTTTTACTTTTAGTATATTATATTAATTTATTGTATGCTATAATGCTATTTCTTTTCAGATTACAAATTCTGGGGAGCGTCTGAAAGTATGCTATAAAAATGCAAAAGATAAACGTAGAAAATCGCGCTTTACGTATGACTTTAACATAATGTGTACTCTGGTCTTAAGTAAAATCCGACAAGAAAACAAAATGTACCTATCACATACCTATCTAATTTTTGAAAAACCCGAAATGAAATGTAAATTTTTACAGTTAAAAATGAATTATTTCACGCTATAATATAATGTAGAAAGTTGAATATATGAAAAGTAATTAAAGTATTTAGATTAGTGTTTAAAATTTACAAATGGTGCCACATCATCTTCAAATGTTCAATTTTCAAACTCATAGTGACACACAGCGTTGCCAGTATTGAGGAATTTCCCCCAAAAAGGGGATGTTTTTTTCAAATTGGGGACGAAAAATTCAAGTTGGGGACTTAAGGATTTAGTGGGGATCTTTTTAAAACAATGTGGAATTTGTGAGGATTTTTTTTAAATAAAATAATAAACTAGTCTATAATTTGAATTTTATGTACAAATATTTTTTCAAATAAATAGTTCTGTTCGTTTTTTTTTAATGTTTGGGGATTTTTTTTTTTTTTTTTTTTTTTTTTTTTTTTGAGGAAATTGAATCAATTTGAGGAGATTTGGGGAAAACGTTTTTTTGATTTTGAGGACGAGAGACAGAAAAATATTGGCAACACTGGTGACACAATAGCAAAGATTACTCTCTCCCTCCCTCTCTCTCTCTCTTTGTGTTATCCAACAGTTTCCAGAAACAATTTGTACAAATTATTAAATTTTCAAATACCTTTAATCTTATGTCAATTTATCTGTGATTTTGTGTGAAAATATTGATTTGAAATGATCGACCGATCGCACTTCTATTTCTAAACTAACTTCAACATTTTTCTTCAAAATTTCAACTAAAAATCTCCCAAAATTTTCCTTATTTTCTCTATTTGTTTATTTACATGAAATATAATAGAAAAAAACTCTCATTACACCTTTGAATACAGTGATGATGTTAGCATTTCAAATATTGTTGTTTTTGGGCACTCGAATAGAAAAAAATATAGAAACACACACACACCAAAGTCCAAAAGTCATGAATTTTTTGCACATTATTTCCGCATACGAAATGAAAAATACAAAAGGAAAATATACTTGAAAGAGTAAGAAAGAGAAGAAGAGAGATATGAAAAGAAAAATATAAATTTACACACCTTCTCAAATCCAGGGAACAAGCAAACCGGTTAGATTTCGGGTCTTATCATTACGTTTCCGAGGATGATAGAGGAGGTAAAGAAAGCATGGCATGACTGATGTAAAGAAAGATACATTCGAAGCTAGTCTACACGATTACCGGCAATGGTAATATTTTTGTCATGACGGCACATATACATAACAGTACATGTGCCTGCATAAGTGTTTGTGTTTCTGTGTGTGTTTATCTTACACTCTAACATAATATTCCAGCCTGTATTAAGTCACAATTTCAAATCAAGAAGCAAACGTGAAGGCAAACCAACCAAAGAAAGGTCGAAACAAAACGAACGAAAAAAAGAAACTCCATCCCAAAGCAGCCGCAACATTTGTAAAAGCGAAAGTGAAATTTTTGTACAAGCTTGACTGAATATCATTTGCTTGCTTGTGTTTCCATGTCCAAGTTACTGTACGAGTCGTTGGTTGTATTCTTTTTGTCATTAGGTATGCAAGAGGCCGACACCAGCCGTAGACTGGCAAAATTAACGCAAATGTCTTTTGAGCTTTGTTGTTCTTTTTTTGTTTTTGTCCAACTGATTCATCATCCATCAATAATGGTCCCGTGAGACAAATACCAACATACAGATCTCGGCAAAAGACATGAAATGAAGCTTTTAATGATCAAATTTAAATGCTTTTCATGTTTTCAAAAGAGATTTTTCAATTGCTTGGTATTGTTGGTGTTTACAACTGAAGGCCATTTTGTTGGAATAAAAAGTAAACTGTAAAAAAACTGCTTACCAAATAATGGGTGTATTAAGTAAATTTTGGCAGCAGTAACTACTTACAAAACAGATAGAAAGTAAGTGATTTACAAAAATGTTGCTGGTTTAATCTTCTGCTATGTAGTTAACTTACTAAACACTTGTTGTGTGCCCGTACTTTTTAAAAGTAAAACTAGTTGTTGAGAAAAAATTTAAATTTTCGCTCAGAGAAATTCGTCCAGAAAATACGTGTGCGGAACAACATTGGTAGAAATGTCAGAATTTGATGGCAATTCTAAAAAATCAAATTTTGCCTAGCTTCGTGTTTGAGAACAGTAAATCGCAGTAAAAAAGCAAATAAGTTCAGCCGGGCCGACATTTTAATATTCCAAAGAAAAACCCATCGAAAA